ACTCAGGGGGGAGGGGAGCTCCTCAAGAGTTGGGACACACCTAATTCTTTCCTGGCCTGTGGTATGTAGAAGTAGAGTCTTAAACCCACATCTCCTACACAGTGGTGATCTGCTCCATGGTAGACTTGTCTTCACTGTGGTGCATTTGAAACTCTGGAATTAAATGCAGTAATTGCTTGAACATCCCCTGAGGAAGCCACATTCCTGAAGAGCATGTAAGATGGATAGAATCAAGGGAACGAGGGATCCTGACAGCCCTGGCCGTATTGAGCAGAGGTAGAAGTAAGATATGGCCCACACCTGGGATGGGGGAGGGGTCGACTGCTTCAGCACTCAAAAGACTTTAGCTGTTAAACCTTCAGAGCTGGGTCCTCAGGCTGGTATAAACCAGCAGAGCTCCAGTGCGGTTGCTGTGGTCACACAGATTTACATCAGTGTCAGGCCCAGCACGGCATATCAGAGTCTTCTTAGAGAGCAACAGGGAACTTTTGCTCTGAACAGTGGTCCCCAACAGACAGACAGCCTCACAAACTGTCAGTTTTCAGCAATAGGATGGCTGCCAGCCAGAAGTTCCCAAATTTTCCATTTACTTTCTCCCTGATGAGAGATGCTTGCTGTCAGTGAGCCCTGAGAATGTCTAGCCAAGCCCAAATGCTCTGGATTGCCTATAAAAGGGGAAGTGCAGAGCTTGTTGAAACACAGATCAGCTTTGAGGTTTCTGAACATGACCACAGCACTGGGGAGGGAGTGGGGCCTCAGAGTCACTACGGGGACATGGATGTTCAAACAAAAGAGCCAGAGTGAGCCCCCTTCCTCACTCACTGTTAGGACTGGTGTTTTGGGGATTGATTATATAATTGACTCCCAATTATTGTGGGGGAAGCGGTGCCATAGGCACTACTTTGAAGTCTTCGTCTGATGCAAGAGAAATGCTGAACTCTGAACTATGGTCCTTGCAGGTAAAAGAATCTCCCATTTCCTTTTGCACTTCCAGTGTTTTCACTGGGAGGAAGGGAGTGAAGAGATCCTGTCCCCACTTGAAGAGCCTTCTGGGTTACAACAAGAGGTAGAGGGGATGCCACTGTCACGGAGAATCTTGGGGAGGGAAAGGGTTTGGGGCCCCTGCTTTGAATCCTGTCAGTCTTGACACATTCTGCTGAGTTACTCATTGGAGTCTCCTGGTGCTCAGCATACCTGGATTTTGGATCCATCCCATTTTGTCCTGTCTCTGTTACTGTGTTGTCTCTCTGCTTGTGCTCAGTGGTCAGCTAGCTCTCCATTTCCCCTCCACGCCTTCCCCGCGTACCTCAGTGATTTCTCTGTGGGAGCAGTTCAGGCAAGCGCTAAAGCTTAACCTGGTGGGAGTTGGTGTTGGTCCCCTGGCATTGCTGTACTGAGTGAACATGACCTGTGTTTTATCAGTAAGGTTGCTGGATAGCTGATAGCTGTGCAGTGGCTCGGAGCTGTGCTTTGTGTCAAAACTTTGTGTGTTTGTGGATGTGTGTCTTTTTTTTCGTTTTGTTTTTTTAAATACAGCTGCACACCTGAGCTGTTCCCAGTACCTAGGTCGGTGGTAGCAAATGGAGTTTGGGAATTGGGGGAATCCATAGTACCAAGCCACCTTCAAGTTTTATCTCACGGATTTATCTTTGTGGCTGCTTACTGCAGGGTTGATAACCACTTTTCCCTACACCTGGACATGAATTCTCCAGTTTGCTGTGCTTCACAGGGGTAACATTTTTATGCACTTTTCTCTCACCAGCTGACAGACTACATCAATGCTAGCTTTATGGATGGCTACAAGCAAAGGAATGCTTACATTGGTACTCAAGGTAGGAGCCCGCTGTTTCAAATGGGGAAGTGCAGGGCCAGTATTTCCCTCTTCAAATGCGGTGCCTTTCATACTCCCTAATACCGTTGGGTTGGGGCCAGTCTATACTCAGAGGATTCCTGTGGTGAATGATTTATTAACTTGTCACTGAGAGGGCTGGAGTGCCCCTGGCAAGCAGCTAAAAAGAAGAGGGGCTGGAGATGTGGTATGATTGAGTTAGCATGTTGTCATAAGTTGTCTTGGTGCCTGGCTTCCTGCTGAGAAATGTGGCCACTCCTTTGAAGAAGGGCCTCACAGAAGTGGGCAGAAGTTGAACATACAGAAAAAGCTCAGTGGGAAGTCCCTTGATGTGAATGGAGAAATGCCCACTGATTTTTTTTGGATAAGATGAGGTTCTTCCTAGTCAGGGAAGCAGTGAAATTGCTCTGGACAAATCACTGTACCTCTCTGCTTTAGTCAGGGATGGCCCTGCCGTGAGCAGGGGCTGGACTAGATGACCTTGTGAGGTCCCTTTCCAGTCCTACTTTTCTGTAATCCTATGGGGCTGTTTGTTCCTTGTCTCTACAGTTCCCTGCCTATCTCCTTACAACTGGGTGCTATGTGGGTGAACTCGTTAATGTATGTGCAGCTTTTGGGTGCTACGTGACTTCCATAGAATGGAGGAGCATCACGGCCCAGCAGTGACCAAACATCCCCCACTTGCTTGCTCCAGGCCCAGAGGGCTAGGGCAGAGTCCTGGAGCAAGAAGGAATAGGAAGGACCCTGGGGCTGGGGGACATGCAGCTTGGCAGGGAGTCAGAGACTGATCTCAGCAACAATGTTCAAAAATATTGAACAGCTGCTGCTCCTGTTCAGGCCAGTGGGAGCCAGGGGTGCTCAGCGCTTGGGGAAAGCAAGCATTCTTGGGCTGTGCCATCAGGGAATGGTACTGTATTTGAAATGCAGCCCTCCATTAAACATGGCAAATATTTCCCTCCTCCTTTTAGGCACAAGAGTGCATGGCAACTTAACTTCTTACCCATTATCCTGGGACTGTTTGGAAACAAGCATCTTGGCTAAGGCAGATGCTCTCTCCAGTGACTGACAACTACAGCCTCCCTCTTCATGGCACCACCTACCTTGTTTCTTCAAAGGGTGTGTGCTCAGCTGCGTTGTGCTCTCTGTAGGTTGTAGAGTATCATCATGCATTTCCAGTATGTTTCCAAGGCTGCTCATCCAATTCAGATGGATACACTCTGGTATCCTGAGGAGGGGAGCAGCCCAGGGGGATCTTCTGAGGAGGTTTTAAGTAGGCATCTCCCTGACTTTCCATCAGTAGGAACTTGCTGGGGCTTTAGCCAGTCCAATGTGAGACTGGAAGGAATATTCTGGTTGCATTTGATTCATCCCTGTCTTGTCTTGTCTTGTGCTCATTTTGAAAAATGTAATTTTTCCATGTCACCAAAATGTGGCAGTGCCACTAAGGGAGACCTATCTTGTGTACATCCACTTTTTCTCTCAAAACACGTGTTTCAACTTGTCAGCTCTTCAACAGGACCAAAAAAATGCACTTCAGAGATGGCAGACATGTTAACAGCTGGCTGGAAACTTGTCAGCCATTTTAAACTCTTAGCTTGTATCCCATTTGACCTTTGAGGTGTAAGTATAGCATTTGCTGTGGGTCTTCCCTCCTCGCTTCCCCCATAATCCAGCTGCATTCTATAGCTGTGTTACTCTCACTAGCCAGAGGGCCCAGAAACTGCCATGTGGTTGGGAGAAGGGAAGCAATATCACCATCCACCCACTAATGAACTCTCTGTCAGTGCTGAACACTGATATATCCCCGAGCAGGGGTTCTCAAAGTTTTTATGCCACGGCCCGGCAAACCACAGCCCAGCAGCCACAGCTGACCATGGCTGGAATTTCTGGCCAGCAGACAGACAAGGCTACCCCCACCCACAGGCAAGGGGGTGGGCCATACCCTGCGCTGCCACGGACCCTGCAGAAGGAGCCGTGGCCTCTCCACCAGGCTCTGGGGGCTGCATGCTCACGTCTGGTCCGGCAGCTGACTGTGCTGCAGACCAGCAGCTGACCCGCTGCAGACCAGCAGCTGACCCACTGCAGCCCAGGGATTGAGAACCTCTGTCCTAGAGCATTGTGTGTGCACTTGGAGCTAAAGCCTTTGTAAGCTCCAGACAGCATTTTGAGGCCAACAACTGGATGGAGCGATACTAGGTTTGTAGTTGCCACCACACATCCATGTTGCCCAATGGGAAGTACTGGAATCAACTTGGAATCTTCTGCCAAGGCAGGTGGAGAACATCGGGGCAGCAGTCTAGGTAAACAGTGTCCCAGGTCACCTGCACCATTCAGCAGGATATTGGATGGGATTTCTCTAAAGTCACTGGCCCCTCCTGCCCGTGTCCTTATACATGTGTTCTGTCACTTCAGGACCTCTGGAAAACACCTATTGCGACTTCTGGCGCATGGTTTGGGAGCAAAATGTTCTGGTGATTGTCATGACAACTAGGTGAGTGTGCATTCAGCTCAGTTACTTCCTTGGTTGAGATACAGAACTGAGGTTTTGTGGATACTTCAAATCCCACATTGCTGTGTTACAAAACATGTTACTGCTGTTGTGCAGGCTAAAGTTCGGCTGAGGTAACCACATTTGGTTTTATTAAATTCTACCTCTTGTGGTTTAAATTCACGACACTAGATGTGACACTATCATTTTCTTCATTTTCTGCCCTAGCTTGTTTTGTAGTGGTGGCATGCACTGTTGAAGCAGCCATCCCATTCTACCTCAGATGTGGTTGCATTTTGAGGATGGCCGTATTTCTTGTATGTATTGTATGAATGCAAAAAGAAAAACAAACGCTGTGTGTCTGCACTGGGGAGCTTGTAAGGCACTTGGGATCCTATTTCCCACTTCCAAAATAGGCTTCTTTAACCTTGGGCTTAACTCAAGTGGCTTAACTTCCATGCCTGTTTCCCCATCTCTAAAATTGGCCACCCACTACTGGAAGATGCTTTGAGTTGCCTGGTAATCTAACATAGCAGTCTCTTCAGTCCATGAGCTCACCATGCCCTCCTTGCCCCCACAGTCCTGGTGCAGGGGAAGATGCCCTCTGTTTGGCTCTCTCATTTCCTTCCTTTTCTACTGATAACTGGGGTATGCATGCAGCATAGCACCTTCCTTCTGAGTGCAGATTCAGAGTGTGTGCTCAGCTCTGTGTTTATGATCCAGCTCCCATAGAAGCCAGTAGGTGACAAGGCTGGGATCTACTTCTCTGCCTCTGTGAGGAGCAGAGGAAGAACCTCTTGCCCCCTTCTCCTCTCTATCTGGTGTATTACAGGCTGGAGGAGGGAAACAGGAAGAAGTGTGGCCAATATTGGCCCCTAGAGAAAGACTTCCGAGTGTGCTATGGGACTCTCACTGTCACCAACCTTGGGGTGGAAAACCTGAATCATTACAAGAAAACCATTCTGGAAATCTATAACACTGAGGTAACTATCCACCCCAGTCTTGTGGTGGAAAAAGTGAGTAGGGCAATGTTCCTGAGCTGCCTATGACTTCAGCGTAGGGAGAGATAGCTAGGCTGCCATCTTCCCAGTGGCATGGAGCTAGGAATGAGCAGGCAGAGTGTCTTCATTGCCATGTGTAAAGTGTGGCTTGGACCAATGAATCCCAGATGTACTGCCTGATGTAGCAGAAGACAGATTCTCATTTCTGCAGAAGAGGAAGGCAGATGGCTCGGGCTGGCATCTACCAGGACATCTGGGTTTGACTCCATACTGAAGCAACTACAGTAGCCTGGAGAAGCATTATGTCTGGGCTGTCAGTGAAGTGGAGGCCACCATGTGATTACATGGCATTTATTAGTGGCTTCACTAGGAAGGGGAAGACCTGTGGGAGCACTGTGTGTGTGACAGGAGAAACAAAGGGAGGGAAGTGTTGGTGGTAGAAGGAAGGAGTGGGAGCATAGAGAAATTAAGGAGACCCTGGTGGGCAGGGATAGGGCTAGCTGGGGTCGGGTCCATGCTGGTGTGCTTGCATGGCCTGTCTGGTGCCTGGGGGCACAAAAGCAGGAGTGTGGAGTTCCTCTGCAAGGGAGTCTCCCTGGGGGAACAGGCCTGTCAGCTGGAAGAACTGACAATGAAGCTTTCTCGCGCAGAACAGAGAGCGGCGCCTGGTGTCTCATTTCCAGTACTTGAGTTGGCCGGACTATGGCGTCCCCTCATCAGCTGCCACTCTCATCGACTTCCTGGGAGCTGTGAAGCAGCAGCAGAGGGTTGCAGTCAGTGCCCTGGGGCCACGTTTCAAAGGTCACCCAGGAGGGCCACCAATAGTGGTCCACTGCAGTGCCGGCATTGGCCGTACAGGTAATTGTCTCAGATTCTGGTAAGACTGATTGTGTGTATGTGGGTTGGGGGTTCCATCTAAATGAGGGTAGGGGAGGGGAGGTACGTGCTGCTGTTCTGTCCTAGGGGACCCCAAGGAAGTGTCTCAGTTCCTCCCATACTCTCTCTGGAGGCTCTTCAGACCCCCCACCAGGAATCCTTGCATCCCCTGCCCCTTTCTCTTTGAGATCCACCTTGGTTCCTGTCCATGGGGTGGCTTGTATTCTGTATCTGATTGTGATTCCCTCCAGGCATGGTCAGACCTGACTCTTAAGGAGCCAGGAGGAATCGTGGCCAAGGATATGAGGTTACTTTTCTCCCTCAGGAAGCCATGGTCCTGTACCCATCCCAAGTGCTGGGATTCAGAGAGCAGAGTCAGGAGCTGAACCTGGGTCGTTTGAGGCAAGGCAGCACTACTGATGTGGTCCTGATATGCACATTAACACCCTATCTGGGGACCCTCCTGGGATGTGGCTTCTGGGCAGGTTGATGCAGTGTATATGATGGTCATATACATCGTCCCAGAGCCTTATGTCCCCACCTGTCCTCCAAGGACAAATTACTCCTCCTCGCAGGAACCCTGAGCTAATGGGTGGAAGTCAAGCAGGAAGTCTCCTCAGCGGTGAAGACGTTTTTAAGGCACCTAGGCTGGACTGTCACTGGAAGTCCAGGAGTCCTGTGGTGCAGTGCGCTGGGGTGGTAGCCATCCCTGATAATGCATGGGAGGCATTTGGCTGGAATAGCTGGTTGTTTCCACCCCCAGGTACGTTCTGTGCACTGGACATCTGCCTCTCGCAGCTCCAGGATGTGGGCACGCTGAACGTGCACCAGACGGTGATGCGGATGAGAACACAGAGAGCCTTCAGCATCCAGACCCCTGAGCAGTACTATTTCTGCTACACGGCCATAATCGAGCATGCTCGGCGCGAGAGTCTGCTGCCCTCCAACCACACGCGAGCAGGCCAGGAGAAGAGCTAATCGGGGCGTGGGGCCCCCATCCCTGATGGCAGGGACTTGCTCTGTCAATCACGATCAGCCCACCCTCCTCATGACTAGTCCAAATTCAGTGGAGCCTTCGGGTTGTGACCATCAGTGATGCTGAGACAAACTTCTTTGTTGTAAGGCTCCCGTTGACCTTTCTTTGGCTAGCTGGTTATGACCCGTCTCAGAGTAGCCACTGACTAGCAGCTCATGTTTCTAAAGTTTAGCACCTACCATTGAACTGTGCCTTATTAAAACCAAATCGTGGCTGCCACATGCCAGGGGTAACTAGAGAGGAGTGGGAAGAGGATTTGCTTCTCACATTGGTGTCTTTTTTTTTTTTTTTTTTTTTTCCATGGGACCACCTGAAATACCCATAGAGAGGACTTGACTTGAATATCCATCCTAGAAACCATTTCCAGTACCACCCTTGCCTAGGGTTTAGAAAAGGCATGTACTTCAGTCTTACCTGCCACTAAGCGTGAGTGTCTGTATGTATGTGTATATATAATATATCCTTGATGTGTTCGGGTCTAGCCTACATACGTATTATATAGATACATATATATGAGCGCGCCTGTCTTTAGCAGCTTGCAGGGCTCAGTCTTGTAATGTTGTCTCACTGCTGTGATCTCGAGTGACAAGCGATAGCCTTGCAGTGGTAACAGTGCAACGATGTTACTGGCTCTTTCCTTTCCTTTCACTCCTTGAACACAGCTTTAGGGATGCAAGCACTTGCCAGGAACCATGCACACTGGTGTACAGAGTGGGGTGCGTATCATACCAGCATGTTCTTGTTGGACTGGTGCTGTGCAGGGAATCAGCACTCCTGTAAGCTGGTGAGATGCTGCCAGGGCCACATGGTGCATCCTTCTTCCCAGAGGTTGTTAGGGATCGCTTAACATGACCTGTCTTGCTATTGTGCAACTGCTCTCTCTTCCCCTTGCCTGTCTTGCTTTGGTTCAGAGGGGTGGGCCAGTTTTCCCAGGAGCAGGGCATTGCAGATTTCCTCATGACAAAAGGATGTTGCTGCCCTGGGACGGACTCCCCCGCTGCTTCCAGGGAGGCCAGTCGGTACGAAGTGCTGCAGGGCAGAGGGTGCAAGCTGCTGTCAGAACTACTGGGCTTTCCTTGATGGCAGTAATGTTCTGCAGTTGGAGTTTGTGCTTTTCTAGGGTCCCACCCGTCCCAGCCATACTTCACCAGGGGTGAGTGGTAGCAGCTCCTAGTGCCAAGCAAAAGCCAAAACCATCCGAAGGCAGGGAAATCAGAAACCTCAGAGTAGCTGGTGTCCCCTTCCTCCACGCAGCACCCAGTCTGCCAAGGATCGGTGCTGAGCCCATATTTTGTCCCAGCCTTCTTAAGGTGCTGCTGGGATCTCTGACTATCTATCATGCCCCCCTGTTCCCTGCCCCGGGAGGTGAGGCTGGCAGCTGAGTGGACCTCAGTAATTTTATACTGTAATAAGCTCTTTGAATGTGTATATTCTTATTTTTACAATCTTTTTTTGTTTTGTTTTGGGGTTTTTTTGGTTTTGTATTTAACGTGAACTTGATCAGAGCCAGAAATAACTATAAATGTTCCTATTCACTCTCGTATGGTGATGCAGTTTTTGTATTGACATATAAATACACCTACAGATGACCAGTGTTCTTAGCTTCATTGATGTAGCAGTTTGGGGACAGAGGGAGGAGGTTGAGAAGGAGACTGTGGATGACAACAGAAGGAGGAGGGGGGTTAATATCATGGGCCTGATGCCCCCATTTAGGCCAGATACTGGCTTCGTCTCCAGTGGGCAATGATGTAATTGGGAGTCTTTCCATTAGTTCAGTGGAGGCAGGATCAGACCCTCAGGGGGTGCCAACTTAGATGTTGGAGAGCTTTGGTGAGAGAGCTTCTCATTAGGCCTCAGACTGAATGCAAGCACTTCATGGATGGCTGTTCTGATGTCAGTGAAGGAAATGCAGGAAGCTCTTGTTGGTTAGAAGTGCATTCATTATGTATTGTCAGACTCTGCTTCTTGTGTGTGCAGTATACTTGTGTGTAAAGCCCATGAGTTGAGGCTACTGCCAACAAGAAACAATCCCAGTTAAATGAGTCTCCCCTCCCGAGTCCTGAATTTTTTTTGCACTAAGCAACCTTCCTTGAAGGAGCGGGTATAGACAGTCCACCTGGGAGCAGAGGGTGGACTTCGTGTTTCAAGAAAGCTAGTGCTCCTTCCAGTAATCAGTCAATTAAATTCTAGCATGTCTATCTCCCTCTCTTCCTCCTCCCCCCCCCC